ACCAATGTATAGGTAGTGAGTAATTGAACTGCAGTCAGAGAGTATTGTTGAAGTTAACGTTCGTTATAGTGTTTGTTATAGCGCGACTGTTGAAATTAAGTGTATCGTAAAGTTGTATTCGGAAAGAATAAACCAGTTTTATTAAGAAAGGACTTGTGTCGCTAAAGTTTCGTCGGAACGAAGTTACGGAAAATCAACTAAAGAATGGAGACGTAACAGTAGGGACGACTTCAACACATGTGTGAGGGAGGAGTAGGTGTGTATATACTGCTATGCATTGCCAAAGGAAAGATATTAGGGGAATGGATCTGTCACCCCTCAGAGCTTTATCTCAGATAGAAATATCTTTGTGTTAAGGTTTTGTGTGTGGATTTTTTTCATGTGTTTATGTACATTTAGAGTACGGGTACCGTCACCTGTTGAGTTTTAATATTTACCCTCATAACCAGGTTTAGATGGCGTCGTTTGATCTGGTGTCTCTTCCTAGATAAGTCGATTGGTTTGTTATTTCTGATGAGACCATTCGGCTCAAAGTGTTTTTTCTTTTTGTTTTACTAGAAGTGTTTGGCGGGTATCGCGTGTTGTAGAATAGGTTCAACCCACTTAGATTTGACCTCGCAATCATTTGGACGATCCACACGGCCATCAGACTCGTTTAGAACACTACGTACGCAATCTGATACGCGAGTAACCTAGGCCTTAACTATATTAATTACTTTCAATACCCAACACTGCCTTTGCATTATATGAACTTTGTGCAAAATATCACAGCCAAAAATGTCTCGTGTTTGTAATACAAGTTTTCCCCTAGTATTTATTATAAGGTTCGGAAAAGCAATACATTAAAGCTGTTGTAGTACTAACATCTCAAGTGTTTCAGATTGAGGAAATATATATATATATATGGTCATTTTAGCAAATAACTCATTACGGGAGATAAATAAACAATTCTATGTTATTTTGGTGTTATAAAACAATCAATATTAAATGTTAAAGTCCATGAAATTTACACTTTCTCTATTTAGGGAAAAGTTTCAGGGCGTAAAACCACCTGTACTGCGCACGGAGAAAGATTTTGATCCTGGATCTAAGTATCATATTGCAAACAATATACCATATCTCAGGTAAGCCGGATATAAGTATCATATTGTAAGCAATATACTGTATCTCAGGTGGGCAGGATTTAAGCATCATATTGTAACGAATTTACAATAGCTCCTGTGAACCGGATCTAAGTATCATATTGTAACGAGTATATAATATCTCCTGTGACCAGGATCTAAGTATGATATTGTAACGCTTATATAATATCTCCTGTGAGCCGGATCTAAGTATCATATTGTAACGAGTGTATGATATCTCCTGTGAGCCGGATCTAAGTATCATATTGTAACGAGTGTATGATATCTCCTGTGAGCCAGATCTAAGTATCATATTGTAACGAGTATACATTATCTCCTGTGAGCCGGATCTAAGTATCATATTGTAACGAATGTATGATATCTCCTGTGAGCCAGATCTAAGTGTCATATTGTAACGAGGGTATGATATCTCCTGTGAGCCAGATCTAAGTATCATATTGTAACGAGGGTATGATATCTCCTGTGAGCCAGATCTAAGTATCATATTGTAATATACAAGATCTGTAAAAACAAAGATTAACCTGTAATTTTAGATGAACTTCGTGTATCAATGTAGAAACTAATCTGTTGTTACACATTAAACTTGAGGACAAAAAGTAAGTCTTAACATCCTGAAAATACAAATGTAGCTTTTAAAAAACCACAAAAATTAATAGTAGAGTTCTATATTACGTCGAACACAAGTTAGCTTTCAACGGTGAAAAGCTAAAACCAACATTGTTACCGAACACGCAAATATTCATAGTACTTGAAGTTCATACGTCATTAAGTTCAATATTCGTATTAGCTCTGTTGTTGTTCTTAAGCGCAAAGCTACTCAAAGAGTTATCTGTGCTCTGTCCACCACGGGTATGGAAACCCAGTTTTTAGCATTGTAAGTCCGAAGACATACTTGGTGGGCCTATTTTCAAAATTTCACTTTCTATTTTAAAAAGAAAATTTTCCTTTTAACTATTTTTTTCGTAGTTATTTTTACATTGTTCCTTTCCCATAAGGCACTAGAATAAAGACGTCATGATTTTCATCTGATTATGTTTTCAATTATCATAATAACATTGATAACCACGTGACTCTTTATTTCAGTTTTATTTCTGTATTGGTTATAAAGTTATTAAAGTATTAGGAAAGACAATTTTAGTTATATTATTGATTTTAAGTATTATTTCTGTATTATTACTTTTTGTAGAGCATATTGGTGTATAAAATAAATTTTAATACCAGTAATAAACGACCTTATAACACCAAGCTTGTTATTCTTCTTCTTTAATTGGACACTCAACGTTTGGCTTTACAGGAGCGTTCCACTGAAACACAAACAGTAGAAGCTGTTAGCGAAACGTTGAGTGTTCAATTAAAGAAGAAAAATGACAAATTTGGTGTTATAATGTCGTTTGTTGATAGTATTATTACTGTATTTTCTTAACGAGTACACTAATGTATTACGAATGCCGTATTATTTTGATTATATTGTTGATTTAAATATTATTCCTGTATTACTAATGAATATGTGAATGTATAAGGAATGCCATATTGTTTTGATTGTATTGTTAACTTAAAGATTATTCCCGTATTGTTTATGAATCCACTAATGTATTAGGAATGCCATACTGTTTTGATTAATATTGTTGATTTAGAAATTATTACTGTATTGTTTAAGAATCCACGTCATATTGTTTTGATTGTATTGTTGACTTAAATATTATTCCCATATTGTTTATAAATCCACTAATGTATTAGGAATGTCATATTGTTTTCATTATGTCTAGATATTACTTCAGCACATTTCTCCAATATCAGCTACTCGAGGATCTGTGCTCGGAAGTGCCATCAGAAGCCAACAAAGCACTTCATCGATGTTGTTTGTTTGGCTCAACACAGGCAGGTCACAAACTCAAGTAAGTGTCAGTAACGCATACAAAGTTGTAGTATTTATAAGATTTCTTGAACGCAGGTTGACTTTAAACTCAAGTAAGTGTCAGTAACGCATACAAAGTTATGGTATTTATAAGATTTCTTGAACGCAGGCAGACCTTAAACTCAAGTAAGTGACAGTAATGGATTCAAAGTTGTAGTATTTATAAGATTTAAGGCAGACCTTAAACTCAAGTAAGTGACAGTAAAGCATACAAAGTTGTAGTATTTATAAGATTTCTTGAACGCAGGCAGACCTTAAACAGTAAGTGTCAGTAACGCATACAAAGTTGTAGTATTTATAAGATTTCTTGAATGCAGGCACGACATGTAATGCTAAAATTTGGAGTTAAATCCCTACTCTTGGCACAGCACAGATAGCCTATTATGAATCTTTATACTTAGCAACAAACATAACTGAAATTAATGTTATTATGTTACATTGCTCAATTATCTACATTTACAGACTATACCTATACACATATTAGGGCTATAAGGACTCTCTTAGTTTTAAAACTATACAGTGCCCCGGTGGGACAGCGCTAAGTGCGGGGCTCGATTACCTGCGTTGGACACAGTAGATAGCTCAATGTGTTTTTGCTATAAAAACCACCGACCAACCAAAACTACACATTAAAATAATTAGGAAGGCTTTATTCAAAGTAAAGTCAATCTTCATTCAGACACACGACACTCGCATCAAAACACACGTAGGCAATTGACCTATGACATGCATTTTGGTTTGATTCGTTAAAAGATCATTTTTAATGATACTGGAATTTATGATATAAATAGTACAAATATATTTCGTAAATAAAATGTTTCGTAATCCAGAACCTTACTGGAATTTTCCACCCAAACGATATCTTATTTCGACACCTGGAATAAAAGGCCCCTAGGCCCTAATTTTAGGCCTCAGGGAGAGCAGTCAGTCAGTATCACACTCCGCCAAACGGGCTGTGTTCGGCTCTTTGAACCAAATAACAGAACTGACTGCCACTTTTATAACGCGTTTACATCCGAAAGAGCGAAGCGTGTTCAGCGGCATCATGGCTCGAATCTTGGACCCTTTGATTCACAGCTCGACTTGTTAACAACTAAGAAATACTTGGTTCGGAAATTAGAGTTAAATACATACAATCTATTTTTTGTGCTATCTTCATCTTTTTTTCTTCCATTTTTTTACAGTATTAACGATTTTTTGGTCATATTATGTCTCCTTTTTGTGTATGCTCTACTTTTATTGATACAACATTTAACTAAAGTGTTAGAAATAATTTAAGATTAATTTCTATGCGAGTTCTTTGAAAGTGTCGATTGGTTCTAGTTGATGATTTAAAGGATCTAGTTGAACGTTTACTGTTTTGGATTGTTTGTTGTTAAGCGCAAACGCATACAATGGGCCAAACTTGCTGTGTCAAGCGCAGGGATCGAAATTCGAATTTTAGCGTGATAAGTCCTCAAGGTTACCACTGAGTTACCGGAGGGCCACAATTTAGAATTAGAACTAGCAGTTAACTGTTTATTATAGCTGATAGTATAATTGGCTGGGTTTTAAGTTTGTTTGTTTGTTTTTGAATTCCTCGCAAAGCTACACGAGGGCTATCTGTGCTAACCGTTCCTAATTTAGTAGTGTAAGACTAGAGGGAAGGCAGCTAGTCATCACCACCCACCGCTAACTCTTGGGCTACTCTTTTACCAACGAATAATGGGATAGACCGTCACATTATAACGCCCCTACGGCTGAAAGGGCGAGCATGTTTGGTGTGACGGGGATTCGAACCCACGACGCGCAGATTGCGAGTCGAGCGCCCTAACCACCCTGGCCACCGGGTTTTCAGTTAAGTTCGATATAGATCCTAATAATTTAACTACCTTTAACATTAAATAAAATATTAAATTAAACATTTAGGAGAGACATTCTATAATTGTTTTTATTATACCCCCAGTGGCATAGAGGTATGTCTGTGGTCTTACAACGCTAGAAACCGAGTTGCGATACTCGTAGTGGGCAGAGTTCAAATAACCCTTGGTGTTGTTTTGTGTTTAACTACAAACACTTTTTAATATCATTTTAAATATATTGTTGATTTTAAAACTTTATCAAAAATATTACCTATTGTTTATTAACGGTCACGCCGAAATATTTAGATATTAATTTTTAAATATTGTTTTCATTCAGTTGATACTATTTATATTCATTTGGAAATTGAAATATTTAAGGACGCTGATGTCGTTGGGGTCGTCTCTTCCTTGGCCACGTGTGGCATCTCAGTTCTTCAGACATGGGAAACTGACAGCAGCGCCGCTGTTGGCTTATTTCAGACCTTTAAAGGAATGGCTAATAGAAGAAAACAGGAAGACAGGAGCTACAGTTGGCTGGTTTCTTTCATTAAATTAACATGTGTTTTTAAATATGCTTTGTGAAGAACGATAATATATAACGAAGAGGAGGTCGAAGCTAGTTTGATACGGAATCTTAATTGTTTTAAAGACTTGTTTTGAAAATAGGCTTGATATTTAAATTCGATTTTTAAAGTGTATGTCATTTTAGTTTTGAATACTGAATTACTAAATTAACACATATTTAGCTATTGCTCTAAACTCTGATAATGAAAATGTAGTTTTATTTAATTCATAAAGGTTATTAATTTTAACTGACTGTGTGAAAGAAAAAATTGAAAACGAAAATATTTCAATGTTTAAAAGGACTACATTGTTTTTTATTTTATTTTAACTTGTTATTGTTTTCGTATTGAAACTTTGAAAATAAATAAGCTGCGTTATAAACTCAATAAAATATCTTAACATGAGAAAATGTAACAGTCTATTATGTGTGAAAACAAAAATACAGACACTGTCTGTTAAGTAAATGCTTTGAATACATTACTACATTAATTTTGTTTTACCCACCATCATGTCCCAAATTGAACAAAAAAAATGCGGTCTGGCTAACTAATGAATGAATATTTGCTATAAAATTCTTATCAATGTTGTAAGTGTAGTTACCAGTTTGGCCGCTAGTTTTGATTTCACTTCTTTAAGTCGTACGCTGAATCATTTTTTGGCCACACCTTTTTTTTCACACCTAAGGTGTTTTTGATTAGATATCTTTTAACCGGTGGATCATACGTAACTACACGTGTTTTGGCCACCATACAAGATAAACCAGACATACAATGGAAGATGAAGTAAGTGGTTTAAGCCGGTGGATCATACGTAACTACACGTGTTTTGGCCACCATACAAGATAAACCAGACATACAATGGAAGATGAAGTAAGTGGTTTAAGTCGATAGCAAACAATGTAACTGGAAGCCATGTTTTGAATTCGATCTGATTGTATATTTCAGAATTTCACGTAAAGCTATACACACCGGCTACCTGTGCATAGCTGTCCCTAATTTTGAGTTGATAGCTTAGAAGAAAGTCAACCATCGCCAACTCTTGAGTTACAACTGGGTTACAGTTACCATTCAGACATTAATATCCCAGACAACTAGAAATGAGCTATATAAGTTTAAAATCCCAGGTGACAATCACCGAATCATACAAATTCAAAATTCCAAGTAATTACGACTGAGCCATATATATTTAAAATCGTAGGTAACTACGACTAACTTATATAAATGTAAAAAATCCCAGGTGGTTATAACTGATCTACACACATTTAAAATCCAGAGTGCCAATGACTGGATTATACAGATTTAGAGTCCCATGTGACTAGAAACGAATTATACAAAGTTGTTTTTTTTTATATCAGACTCCACACTATTCATTTTCAAACTAAAAACAGAAATGAGAATTTAATATAAGACTAATTTCCTTCAGAACATTAATATGTATCTGAAGCGGCAAATGACAGAATGAATAATAGTTTCTAAAGACATTTCCTACAGACGTTCTCCTTAAGAAAAATAAAATGAGTTAACACTGAATTAATTCTTAAAAAAAAGCTAAATTTTACAGAAAGGAATCTAATTATATTATTAAAACTTATAAATGAACACCGAATTATTCAAAGGGAAAAAGCTGGATTATTTGAAGTAAACCATTAAAGTAACGGAAAATAGAAGCAGCTGTCTGTGCCAAAAAGTAGCAAGAGGCCATAGATAAGACACATTTTATTTTTTTTAAAAACAGCGCAACTAATTAAAATTCATAAGACATATCACATTCATTTCTCAGGAAGATCATCACTTAACTGTTGAAGTCAATTGTGATTCCTCCTTTAATGTGCTTGTGACATTTCGCAAGTCTGTTAACTTGCTTGGTTTTTTTTTGTTGTTATAACTATTAAAGAGAAGAAGGCTTGGTATTCAATTCGTGATATCATTAAAAACATCCTTATGGAAGCAGAATGTGGAGTGACTATTTGAAAAAGTAAAATGACGTTGTGAGGCATCACCAGATAAATCTTGAATACAACAAGGTTTCATTATCGTCTTGAAGTGTTCAACAAGTGTCGTCCTAAGTGGTCTGATGAGAGCTTTATTTGTCGAGACTGAAGTGTTCCACAAGTGTCGTTCTAAGTGGTCTGATGAGAGCTTTATTTGTCGAGACTGAAGTGTTCCACAAGTGTCGTTCTAAGTGGTCTGATGAGAGCTTTATTTGTCGAGACTGAAGTGTTCAACAAGTATCGTCCTAAGTGGACTGGCGAGAGCTTTATTGGTCGAGACTGAAGTGTTCAACAAGTATCGTCCTCAGTTGTCTGATGAGAGCTTTATTTATCGAGACTGAAGTGTTCAACAAGTATCGTCCTTAGTGGTCTGATGAGAGCTTTATTTGTCGAGACTGAAGTGTTCCACAAGTGTCGTCCTAAGTGGTCTGATGAGAGCTTTATTTGTCGAGACTGAAGTGTTCAACAAGTATCGTCCTAAGTGGTCTGATGAGAGCTTTATTGGTCGAGACTGAAGTGTTCCACAAGTGTCGTCCTAAGTGGTCTGATGAGAGGTAGATGGATATAGTAGGAATTTTGAATTGTTTTACATATATTAACATACTGATGTTATGGCAAGGAATATGTGGGGTCGACCGTTAGGTCTCTCTCTTCATACGTAGAAAAAAAACTTGCTTTGGTTTGTTTGTCTAGTTTGAGAAAAATTCTACACAAAGGGAAATCAAACCTCGGATTTTGGCGCTGTAAGCCCGTAAACTCACTGGTGACCCAGGAAGAAAGATGAAAATGCTGAAAATTATTTGGTCATTTTTCACCCCGTAAACAATTTAGATTGTTTTAATGAAATTCAACACAAACGTTTCAAGTTCAAACACGAATGAAGTATCTTACAATTATTTCAACAATTCCTCATTATCTAGAAATATCGCCATTATTATTAAATAGAAAAATTATTCTTTATATAATCCAAGACTGCTTTGAACGAACAAGTTTTAAAATTTGCCTGAAACACGTTAGCGAAAAAATACTCAATAAAAACACGAAACTTCTGAAAATGAACAATGATCTATATCTGAAATCTGGTTCAAGTTACTAATGAAATTTAGAATACTGGTAGTAATATATATATATATGAACATTTCACGTGGGATATTCTGGTCGCATAGAAATATAATTGGTCAGTTATTGGCGCCAATTTCGTATAATTTAGCAACAAACAGACTGTTATGGTACTAAAAACTCGAACCTCTGCCACAGCGATATGCATCTCTCACCGATAGATGGCACAATATCTCTTTATAATCGTTCTAACTCCGTATCTGAATGATTAGGAATACACGAGTTATACTTCCATAAGCGATAATTATCTGTACTAAAATTCGTTTATCCGGAAAAAAACTTAATGCAACAGATAATAATAGAACAGAGAAATTACCATCAAACATTTTTTATGATCAATTATACATTCGACTCAGAAATATAGTAGAAACGTTGAATTGTGTTTTCTGCTCATTTGGATTTCCATGGAGTTACACCCCCCCCCTCGCTTTTAGAGAATATTGCCGTCTAAGAACTACCACTGTTCTTACTATTTAGTATAGTATCTTAGCAGAAGACAGCTATTAAAGCAACACAGAAAAAAACACACATAATCTCTCAAATACACGAAACATAATTCAAGTGATACTTTGCAACGTATGTAACGTTTCCTTGAGGAAAATTATATGAGGATCAAAGACAATATCACATTAAAATAGCACAGAATTTCATTCATGTGTTACTTTTAACGAAATATGAACGGTGTACACGGCGTGGTCACAAGTAAATAGACACCACCTTTTCAGAAAAAATGAAAA